GTATTGATCGGTAACGAATAATGAAACGGGACGCAGAAGTGATCGTCCCATAGTTCTGCCATTATGACCGACACGGTCCACGAGCTTTGCATAATGGGCACCAGTATTCAATTAAATAACAAATAACTTCGAAACTTTCGAATTTATGAATATCTCGGCGCGTATTGAAATCTTTAAATGGCATAGATGACAATGTTTGAACCAACGATAATTGCCAAGTAACATTAAGTCAAGCGAATGTTAAGGACGATACATTTGGTATTTATTTATCATTAGCGTTTTCACGTCTACTATGAAAGCATAAAAAGTGTCATAAAACCGCAAAAAATGGAAAAAAAAAGAAAAACAATTTGTAGATAATTCGAAAGTATGTGGTCGCGTTAATCACAAGTTTCCTCGTGTTCATTGCAATTTGCAGCGTCGGTACTTGCTGAGTCACCGATGAGTGAGGCTCGAATATGAAGTATATTATCCGATTAGCTAACAATTTTAAACTGATCAATGTCTGCAGTATTGGCGCAATATGTAGCACTGTCGATATCGATCAAGCAAAGATCTTACCGATTCATGTATGCGAAAATTATACATACATAAAAAAGTATATATATACAAACACATTAACAGACACAGTTATAGTAACAACTGGATTGAGAGAGAAAGCTAAAGAGAAAAGTTTCGAGAGAGAAAATCGCATGGTCGTTCATGAATGATAATAAGCATGATAACCCAGATGATGATGACAATTACGCGAAAACAAAATACATATAAAAAGAGATGATGCCGAGGAACCGCATGGTCAATGGAGCATATAGAATAATAAATAATTCCTAAGTAATGACTAAAAGTAACACACTCTAAAGAGCGGTTGGGGCTTTCTTGTTGCCGAAATGAAAGTGAGCACACAAATAACTGTAATAAATCAAATGATAAGGACAATGACAGAAAATAAAGATGAGTGACAGACAGAGCGCAGTCCTATCGAACTGTATCGTCAGCGAAGGTTCATCGAGTCGCCGCTGCCCAGAGGCCGTCCTAGATTTTAAGTTAACAAAAACTTACGCTCGGGCCCGCATTTTCAGGTTTATCTTCATTCGTTTGTTTGTTTGTTTGTATATAATCTTTGCGAGAAAACAGGATACTAAGAGATAAAACTAAATATTTTGTCGATTTTCAACGGTCGTCGATTGAAACCTGCACGTAAGTTTTTCTA